AATGCTCTACAGGCCATAAAACATCCATTCCATCCCTATCATAATTTTGAATGGTCGTGAAATGATTGGTCATAAGAGGAGGACTATTTAAGGCAAATCTTCTTAAGTTTGATCTCTAGAGGGATTTGATTATTATTTGGAATGTTTTTAGTTTCACAATAAAATATTCAACCTCATCCACTGTTTTTCTTTTCAAAAGCTACAAGTAATAATTCTACTTTTGGCTTCTTCAGCTGTATTACACTGTAACCGCAAAGCTCATTATAAATTCTACTCTGACATGACTACCGTTTTCCCAAAGCAAGCATGAGACACTTCTATAGAATGTCTATGGAGATTCTCAGTCATCCAGGTTATGGTTGTCCCAAAGGTGCTTTTTTTCACAAGGCAACTGAACTTTCTTGTTTTTCTTTGAAGATATTTTGATTCTCATCCAAGAAGCTTTTTCAGCTCTGACTAGATGGTGGGGAATGGCAGGATTTATACTGCTTGCAGACTGCTGATCATTTGCAGTCTTTTAGTGAGTTGTTGAAGCCCCTGGAGGCTTTTCTGTGTCATCAGGACCATATGAGTAGTGCATCAGCATTTAAAAGATAAAGGCCACTTTTTCAAAGACAGCAAAGTCTACATTTTGAAAAGAGAGGACTACTGGTTTGAAAGAGAGGTCAAAGAGACCATCTATGTCAAAATTGAACAGCCCTCTCTCAACAGGGGGGGAGGGGTACAACATCATCTATCTCCAGTCTGCAACACAGTCCTTTCAACAGTTCCAAGAAGGCTCCACACTCATTTGCACTACTCAGGTGATCCGACACAAAGAAGCCTCCAGGAGCTTCACGATTCACTAAAAACTGCAAATGACCAGCTGTCTGAAAGGAGTATAACTCCTGCCATTCCCCACCATTCAGTCAGAGCTGAAGAAGCTTCTTGGAGAGAAGCTTCTTCTCTCTTTCCTCTCCCTCTCTCTTTCTCTCTCTCTCTCCCTCCCTCTCTCTGATCTTCTGCTCACTTGGCCAACTGGCCTCACGCTGTTCTCCGACAAGCTGACACACATTCTTACTTGGCTGGCTCTCTCCTGCCCTTGGTCTGCCAGCCCTCTTCCCCCACTAAGTAAGTAAAACTGTGAGTTTGTGTGTGTGTGTGTGTGTGTGAGAGAGAGAGAGAGAGAGCTGCTGCTTTCTGCTTTCTGCTGCTTCCTGTGGAGCAATAAGCTTGTCAACTTGTTGGAGAACAGCGTGAGGCCAGCTGGCCAGGTAAGCAGAAGATGAGAGAGAGAGAGAGAGAGAGAGAGAGAGAGAAAGAGAGAGAGAGAGAGAGAGAGAGAGAGAGCAAGTGCCTCTCTGTGTCTCTCTCTCTCTCTCTGCAAATGGTGGAGGAGGACTGGGAGCCGCAGTAGAAGGCTGAAAGAGCCACATGTGGCTCCAGAGCTGCGGGTTGCCGACCCGTGGTCTAGAGAATCTGAACATAAGCAAAGATTCTGATGATGTCTCCAATTATGGCCTAACAAAACCAATGGAACTGGCATCTGTAATAACAGTTGCTACCTTGAATTTGGCCACCTGGGAAACTCCTACAATGTTTCAGCTTGTTGATCACATTTTATTGCCAGAGGAAGAAGAAATTATGGTTTCCTTAATGTAAACTATTACTAGTGCAGCTTCTCAAAATGCCTCTACTGCTACAATAATAGATGTTCAGGCAAAAAATGTGACCTGTAAAGTACATGGAAAGCATACAACCACTATGTACATGCTTAGATTGGTCCAGCTGAGATACATGCCTTGTGATAGCCACTGTCTGCTTGATTTTACTTGTTTTACTTTTGGAAGGCTGGTGCTTCAAGGAAACAGTTATAGATCTCTGCATATAAACTAAATGGAAAAAAGTATACTAGGTACCTGTTGTGACATATTGAAATGCAGAAGATCTAGCTAGCAGTCTATCCTATTTGGAGAAAGAGGAATAGTACTGTGGGAAGTCAGCCACCCACCCCCCCGAGAAGGAAAGATTAAAAGGGCAAAATATTATATTTCCTCAAAGGATCTTAAACAGGCAGAAAAGCATGCCCAGTTTTTCTTAATAGCCCCAAGTCTTCCTCCCTACGCAGAAACCAGCTCTGTAGAAATGCAGATATCATAATCCTTTCAGAAAGATTGGCACCTGGAAGCTTAGAGCTGATCATATTAGCAAGACAAAGATACCTAGAATCAACAATCCCTCACACCAAAAAATCCAACATAGGACATAGTCATCAGCCACACCCCCAGGGAAGCAGGATATGACCTTTGGGACATAATAGGATTAACCCACCACATCAGAATACCAGAAGAGCGCACTCAGACTCAGGTCAAAGTTCATGCTACAGGAACAGTTCCAAAGAAAAGCTCAAGAAGGTATAAAAACCCACCACTCCCTACTACATGTGGTCAGCTTTCCCAGAGCCACGCTTCTATCTGGCTTTGCTCTTCAATAAACTACAACCTTCTTTCTAAAGCAGTCTTCATTTTGCTTATTCCCAGCTTGGACTGGACCCTGATGAAGATTTTTCTTTCCACAGTACAAAAGAAAAAAAACTTTATAAGGATTTTAATGTTGACTTGTTCAGAAGATAATATAAAAGAAACTGTGTGCACTTCAGCAGGACCTGAAGTTATCCCATATTCATTTAGATATATGTTTTAAATTGTTTTTTTGATGTTTGTGATATGCAAGTTCCTGAACAGCTATCTTGACAAATTGCCATCTTTTGCTATTGCATGCATCGGATTTGTGTAGAACAAATGAACTTGCAACAAAGGCTAAACAATACATGGTTTTACTTCTACCGTTTTGACTTCTGCAGGTTAAAAACTACAGTACTACACTTGATCTTAGCCAAAAGGCCGAGAAGCGATAACTATAGTAATGATATGTTTCAAAAGCAGTAAAGCAGGAAAAAAACCTTTGTGTCAGAAAGACATAATTTATTTGAAAATTTACATTTTTCCCCAAAGTGAGCATAAAATAACATGGGTAGTAATTACATGAGTGTTTCACTGAACTATTAAAGCGGTAACCATCAAGAATTGTTTCCATATTGCTCTTCTTCTTTTCAGTTGATTTGTCTGGAACAATTCTATCCTTCTGATAATTTCAGGATGGGAGAGAATCATCCCAGATTCATCACCATTTATTAGTTAGAAAATGCATTTTACTTGTTGTTAGAAAACACATTTTTCCTGTTGTTTGCTACCTAGAAAATATATCTTTTTATATTGTGAAAGTGGGATTTTATTGGAATGAGTTGAATTATTGAGATAGAACTACTTAACTTTTAGTAATACACTAATATTTTCATTTGAAATATCATATTTAAAAAGATGAAAATCACGCTCCGAACTTTGCTTGGAATACTAACAATATGTTTTCATTTCAATCTAAATCTGAAATTTGTGGATTTTAAATTAATTATTAGAACTATATGCAATGATTTAAAAATTGCCTTGGATCTCATTCAACCAAGCATTTCTCTGCTATTCATAAAAGCCCTCTGCCTTATTCAGCTTCTATGCAAGCCTGAAAAATATGATCTTGCTTTCAGAAAACCACTTATTAAAGTTAATACAAGTCTTAAATCAGCTACAACTCTTCCATGCTCATGCAGAATGCCTGAAAAATGTTATAAAATTTAGCTCAGAAGTACACAAAAACGTGTTTGCACAAGTTTTGAATCACTTACTAACTTACTACTTAAATAGTATTAGTATTAGCATGAATAGTTAATACTGAATGCAGTGACTAAATTTGTATAAAGAATTCATTGTTGCTAATTTTATTATGTTGGCAATAGTTCAGACTTTCTTTGGGTGCATTTGACTTTGGCTGAATGAAGTGAAAACTTTCATTCTCAGGTTAAGTCAGGGTTGATTTAGATTAGAAAGTGGTGTAGATGTTGAAAATTTCACACCAAAGCAGCTTCTAGATAGTTTTGGAAATAATTTATAATTTATAAATTATAATAGTAATGTTCCTATAAAATAAGCAAAAGAAAACTGAGGAGGTCATCTTATGGAAGTCATCAATTATACATATATGGCATTACATATATTGTATATGAATGTACATAAAGGACAACTCTGTTGTAAGTGTGATAAAGATAGTCAAATCTGCACCTACATCATGGAAAATATCTTTTCTTAAGTATTTATTCTTACTATTAGAAAAGGAGCTGTATGTATATAATCAAATAGAGACTATAACCTAGAATAAATCAAACTGTCCATGAAAATTATTCTGCAGTAGAGTTGCAAAGTCATTGTATATGGAAATTATTTTAAAATGTGCATTTATGGGGAACTCTACATACTATATTATGAAGTCCATACACTGAACTATTGGGTTTGTATACTCTTTAACAGTGCTTTTTTTCTTAAAAAAAAACAAACGGTGCCGGAATTCACACACGTTATACAACCCACCTTGCCTACCCGACAAGGTTCCATCCAAAAAAGGTGCCGAAACTCCGTTCTGCATGCATCTATAAAGCATGCCTGAAGCCTAAGCAAGCTATACTTGAATATTAAATATTTAGATTCACTAAAATCACAAGCTGCACTCTCATTATAGCCAATTTAGAGTGCCATCCTATGGATCTCTACTTGGAAAAAAGCTCCAAGTTCAAGGGATTGACTTCCAAAACAGACATAGCCCTCAATTTACGACCACAGTTGAGTCTGGCAATTATGGTCATCAGACTTAATGGTCATACAGCAGATCATCACACGATCTTTTTTGCAATGGTTGTTAAGCACTGTGATCATAAATGAATGCAGCAGTCATTAAGCAATGACTGCTTAATGACTATTGTTTCACTATGGGGCAGAATTTTTTGAAAACTGAAAGTTTTGGGGGAAAAATGACTTAGATTGAAATCTAATGCCTACAGAACCCTACAAATAGCAGTAAATGTGGTTTGGTTGCTGAGTATCCAAAATGTGGTCATGTGACTGCAGGAACGGGATGGCCCCCCCATAGCTTTGATATCAGATCATAAGATGGGGACTACATGTAAGTTTGAACTTGTAAGCTTGTAAGTATATGACTGCAGTTTCAGCTATTTCAAAGTATGTGCTTGTGGCTTAAGACTCAGACTTTATTTAAATGCACTGTGCAGTATAATACATAAACCATCCTTTAAAATTATAGAGTTGTGCCTTTACTTATTTGAAGGATTCATATTCTATTCCTCATTTGAAAACTCTTTTCATACAGAACAAATCACAAAGATCCATATCTCCCATCTGTCAAAATCCCATCTAAATCATGATGCCTTTGCTTAGTAAAATGACTAGAAAAAATTGCTCAAAATATTCCACATTGTTCTATTTTATTTTTCTTTTGTTTAAACTTCCTTTTTATTTCTTTATTTTTTATGATTGGGAGTCGCATAAAGCAGCCTCAGAGTGAGATAGGTGCCAAAGAAATTTAATAATAATAGTTTTAAAAAAGGAAATAAAGAAAAACAAGGTTCAGCTGAATGGCAAGGTAGAAAATTCACAGGATAAGTCGGGCATCTTATGAAGCTTGATAAAGACCTGAGGTATTTCTAAACCTGAGCTAAAGATGATGCATGGAAATACTTAGGAGCAATGGTGAATATTCGCTTCTTAACCTTCTTTACTTGTTAAAAATCACTGTGTTCCATCTTCTACTTCCAGGAGTTCATCAAGGTATTCTACTACTTCACCCTAGGATATGTTATCACAGAGAACAGGTTAATATTTTTAAAAAAATAGTTTTTGAGACAAATTGCTATTTTTTAAATAAAATAAAATAAAACATAGAATTGATATTAATGCTGAAATAACCAGTTTGGTCTAATGATGAATCTTCTGGCCAGAAACCAGGAAACTGAAGTTACTTGTTCCACCTTAGGCACAAAAGCTGGTGGATGTCCTTGGCCTATCACTTTCTCCCAATTTAATTTATTTAAAACTTTCAAATATAAACTCTCTGAAAAGTTAGGCATACAACTTGACAGCAAGAACCCATAAATGAAATAGGGACTAGGAAAAGCAAAAATGGCAAGGAAAAATGGCAATTGTCATGGCAAAAAAGTTACTTTTCCTTATATCTCTTTGATCTATCAAGGGATAATTGGAAATCATGCATAATTAGTTGCATGGCATTATATTTTCATGGTCCATTTCTCTGCCATCAAAGAGAGCTTGATATGTCCCAATACCAGTAGTCCTCAACTTACAACTATTCACTTAGTGACCATCTGAAGTTGCAATGGGCTGAAAAAAGTGACTTATGACTGTTTTTTCACACTTGCAACCATTGCAGCATCCCCGTGGTTACGTTAATTTTAGATGCTTGGCAACTGGCATGTACTTATGATGGTTGCTGTTTCCAGAATCATGTAATAAACTTTTTGTGACCTTCTGACAAGCAAAGTCAATGGGAAAGGCAGATTCACTTAATAACCATGTTACTAATTTAACAACTGCAGTGATTCACTTAACAATTGTGGCAAAAGTACATCAAATGGGGCAAAGTTCATTTAATAACTGTCTTGCTTAACAATAGAAATTTTGCACTTAATTGTGGATGGAGTTGAGGACTACCTATAGGCATGGAAAAATGTAAAAACATTGTGTCTTCATTTCAATATGTCAACTCTTTAAAACAAAACCAGAACCAGAACAAGCAAGGGAGGGAGGGTCATTACCAACATGAAACCTGATCCTTAATTTCTTTTCAAAATATTAATTTTGCTTTAGTCTGCTTTACTTACTTCATCATCATCCATTACATACTCCTTAGCAAATTCATACATTTCTTTCTGAAGCGTTGTTATGTTGTAATATCGAATGGCTTCCTAGAAGATGAGCAGCAAAATTATGTGTCATATTAAAATCAAAACACTGAAATATCAAGGTCAACACAGCAAGCCTGGAAAAAATAAGCCTATTCTCGTACTGTATGTTAAGTGTTTCTAATCACGCTACTCCAAAAGTCTGGAATTTTTGATAGACTGGTTAGCCAACCAAACAGAATGGGCTACTTTTCTTTCTAGACTGTAATAGGCCAACATTTACTTACAGCTCTAGGCTGGAAATCTTCATCTGTGAGTCCCCATTTATCTTTATGATATTGGTAATAGACAAGATTCTGTTTCATCACTTCATCTTTCTGGTCAAAAAGCATGTAACTAGCAACACATGGAGCTGCATTCTTCAAATCATTCACTGAATCAAATATGCAATAAATCAAGTCAACTTCTCAGAAAGATACTATTATAACAACACACATTCTACAAATATAATATTTTATCAGCACTTTGAGTTGAAATCAGACCTCAGGGCTGAATTCTGATCCATGGTAGAAGTGCATATTCCCAACTAAAAATAAATAAATTTATAAGTATTAAAAACAAGTATCCCATCTTAACCTTAACACCAGAATTATAAGATATGTATTCTTTCTTCTTCTGCCTTTTTAATTTCATTTTGATAATGGCAATATATAACATTTCTTCTGTATGTAGATAAAGCCAGTCGCTTTGTATTTAAAAAATATTGATATCACTTAGATCATCTCCATGTAAAAAATGCAAAGCAAAGTGAGCATTCTTTTCTTAATGATCCAATTAGTGCTTTTAGGGAAATCAAAGGGATTATCTACTATAGTATATCATCCTGGGCAGAAGATATAACTCACTTGCTGAGCTAAGCTATTTTCTTCACAGCCATTATCTGTTGGGTAGTGTTGAGCTTCAAGTTTTAGTGACCATGGTCTACACAACAGTTCAGAATCAGGCACAAAGAACCAATCACACAAACTTGCACAAGTTGGAAATCAGCTTGGCTAAAGACCAATTGGAAGTCAGGACACTTAGCAATAATGATAGGTTCCTGCTCAGTTGTCTGTGGTAGTCACTAAACACTGATGCCCAAAACTGCCTATAACATGTAAAATGGCAATATGTACTAATAGTAGATGAATTACACATAGTAATAAACAGCACAATTTTACATTAATTGTAAAAAATTACCTAACAGAAACTAATCCAGCATTCATGACATCAATATCTAGCTTAGATTTCTGAAATAACCAGGCCTTAACAAACTTTTGGAAAGCCATGAATATTGGGGGGGGGGGGGGTTTCATCTCCACAGGAAAATTATTCTATAAGAATGGGGACCCCCGTAGAAAGTAACCACATTTGTACTGCTTTCCACCAGAAGCAGCCAAAATTGGGGATATGATTGCAGAATTGAAGCCCTGTCACTCTGAATAAACATTTATGCAAAAACAAGAACCAAGAGGCTTCAATTGCATCTTGGTTTTTTAGTTCTCATCCAGACATCTTTGTTAGGATCAGTTTCAACTAAGAACAAAACTCTTAACTTACATTTATAATAGGCAAACTGCAAGTAGTGATACATAGTTGCCACAAATTTTTCCACAACGTAGCCCCCTATGACAGGTGTCAGATCAATTTCACATCTCAGTTTGCACTTAAGAACTTCAATATAGTGATCTAAAAAATAAAATCTGAACATTACTTAGTTTACTAATTCACCTTGAAGATGACAGGTTGACTATAAAAAAACAATACTGTGAATTTAAAAAATGTACAACAGTTGAGGCATGAAAGTCAGTAGGATATGTCAGTGTTTAATTTCTGGGACACAAAAAAATCCATTATGCAGAATACCTAATAAGCAAATGCAGCATACATTCTCGAAATCATGACATTGGCATGACAAATTCCTAGAATAAGTCATCAATAGTTTAACTATTACAAATAATTCTGAATGTGTTAGAACTGTGCAATATTTCAAATAACTATTCTGATTCATTTTCTTCTGATTCAGATACTAACACTGCCTCTGCACAGAGGTCTCCTTCCACTTCTTTTCCAATTGAATTAATTCGGCCCATTTCAGTATTTCAATTTGAGGCAGAGAGTTCTGCTCTGCACTGGTCAAAAAGATACACACAAAAATGGATTTGTTGGCATTTCATGGCAATTCAAGCAAGCAGGAAAACATTCAACACTGTATTTGGACACAGAAAATACTCTTAAGTGTTCTATTTGCATTTTATACAGAGATCTGGAAAGTACAGTTTTGGGGGAAAAAGAAATCATATTCAGATAAAATAATATTGTTGAATTTTTTTCCCTCAGATTGTGTTTCACTCCCTCCAAATTATCTCTCACAAAAGTTTCCCCACAAATTTGAATATGGGAATCTAAAAGAGAGAAATAGCAACATGCAGGGCTAAGCCTACTGTACCTTCCTCAATCAATGCCTCCTGCCCTACAACTTCTTTGCTTTGTAAAGCTTTTCTGATGTATTTTCTTGAATGAACCATGTTGTTAACTTGTAGTAAGAGTTGTTAGCCTGTACTATCTGCTTTTTCACTAATATACTGTAGCTGTATTTCCAATAATTAAATAGGTAATTAAATATTACATTGTCTGGGCGCTCCATCACTGGAGGTTTTTAAGAAGAGACTAGATTAGTCCAGGGGGCTGGACTAGAAGACCTCCAAGGTCCCTTCCAACTCTGTTCTGTTCTGTTCTGCTCTGCCTTGCCCTGCTCTGCCCTACTCTAATTAATATAGTTTTGATGTCAATTTCAGTCAAAACTGTTCAGATTGATGTATTGACTAATTTTTTGTCTCCACTCCAGATTATAACTATTTATCAGTCTATTTTAGGCTTTGTGAGTAATGTGTCATACTATTGTAGGACTAATACATATATTGTGTATATACTAAATAGGTAGGATAAAGCAAGAGAGAGAGAGAGAAAGAACAGTTTTGTGCAGAAGCAAAATGTCTCTTATATAATGTAACAAGTGATTATAAATATTATATTTAGGCTTCTTTTATGTCAGAAAAGAATAGAAGAAAGTTCCTGTTTTCTATTTGCAGCCAAAACTTGATATTATCTCCTAATTTAAATAGAAAATACATACTGTACATATATGTCTAATTAATGCTTTGAGCAAACTTCTTCATCTGCATAATCACCTGAATAACCATATTTATGTCAGATATGAATCACTTCATTTTTAATTCTTATTCTCACACTCCTCTCTCCCCACTGGCTGAAAACTGATTATTATAAAGCATATAGTGGGTGTAAAATTTAGAAAATAAGGATTCTTTCATGAAACCCTTTCACTGCTTTAAAATAGAACTTTAAAATAGAACTACCTGCGATAGACAGATAAAACTCCTTAAAATCTGTGATCTCTCGGGAGCCTTCGCAGGCAGCTGTACAATCATCATAGGCTTTGTAGAAATCAGGAAGTGCCAGTTCCATGTCTGAAATTGAGGTCTTCCAGTTTTCTCCATTGTAGGCCCTTACTGCCCTGACAAAGAGAGTCTGAGAGGCAAGAACAAAAATTGAAGGAATGTGGCAAAAATTGTATTTGAATGACCTAATTTCACTCCACATCACTATATGCTCAAGAAACTGAAGTTTTGCTTTGCTTTATTTTCTGTTTTCCTTGCACAGCAGATCCAGACAGGTCATTTTTCCTGTATCTACCTCATTAATTACACATTTTTCCCCATGAAACTTACACTGTCTTAGATTCATGGGGTCTTCTAATAAAGTCCTGTATTAAATAATTCACTTTCTACCAATATTTTGAAATTAGTAAATTAAATGTAATGGATTGTCAAGGGACCAAAATTTGGCATTTTTAGCAATAAAGCCATTATTATTATTTACAAATGAAAATAAGAAATTATAGGAAGCTAAAAAAATATTTTTATATATTTTTACAGAATATTATAAGACACGTTAAGAAAGAAGGGTAGAAACTGTACCTCATACGATTTGATTTCTAAATCTTTAACATAATCTTCAGCATCAGGCATGCTTTTGTAATACGCCATATTCCTTTTCATCATTTCATCCTCCGGATGTTTCAGAAGAAATGTATGTGCGGCTGCAACAGCTTTTGGAAAATTGTTTGCCTAGTGAAAAAGAATTATATATATATATATATAAAACAAAATCAATTATAAAATACATAAAGTTTTATATTTCTATTTCACAACTTATATATGAAATATATTTTGTTCAGATATTGTAAAATGTATTTATTTTCATCTTAAACAATTTCTAATAAGTGCCATCAAGGAGTATTCTGAGATGGGAAAGGGATTAAGGAAGGCAATGAGATAGATAGGAAAAAAATCAAGATATCAAAACTGGGTAACGATAAAGGTATTTGGAGGGGGGAAATGTATCACAGGGGCAATGAAAAATTTAGCTGCTCAGTTTAAGTTATTTCAGTTAAGAAAATTAAAAACCATGCAATGTTACTAAAAAAAAATCACAATGATGAGCAAGTCATGGAAATGTGGACTAAGCAGCACACAATGGTTAGTAGGGATGAGGTTTATGAAAGAAAGTGCATTACATATGTCAGCCTTTTCCAACCAGCAGCATTTTTAGGATCTCTTGTTGCCTTTCTTCAGACTTCACCGTGCTGTAACCCCAGCCACTTTCAGGCATGCTTATGACATTGTGATGCTTACACAAAAGGGGTAGGGCTTGCACAGTGACATTGCTTTTGTCAGTCTGATTCTCCCCTTTCTAGGTGTTGCTGCCTCCAGCTTTATGTTTTTATTAGATTTATATGCTCCATTGCAACCAGGAGTTCAAGGCAGCATGCACAGTTTAGTGTGGATAGATTGATAAACAGACAGAAAGACAGTAAGAACAAAATGGAATAAGATGCTGACTGGTTTAAAGTCACCCAGTGAATTTTCTTGACTCAGGGAGAACTAGAATATTTCTACTAATACGATGGGCTACAACAGTGGTGGCGAACCTATGGCACGCGTGCCAGAGGCGGCACTCAGAGCTCTCTCTGTGGGCACACGTGCCATGCCCCAGAGATAGCAAACGTCCCTCTTCAACCAGCTGCCTGCTAACTTGCCGAGGTCCCACATGGCCCAATGCATCCCAGCCCGGCTGGTTTCTCTCCCCCTGTCCCGTCCCTCATGGCCTCGCATGCTCTCCTTTTCCCAGGCACGACCCACTGCATCGCCTCCTCAGCTGTCGGCTGGCTGTCCAGCTCAGAGGCAGCTTCTCTGAACTGCTGTCGGTGGCTGCGGAGCCCCAGAGTGCACCGGTTGAGGGGCCGGTAGGCTGTGGCTGCTGACGGACATCATCAGCCCCCATGCACTTGCTGGCCTCTGTGTGCGGGGGCCGATGGTGTCAGGCAGGAGCTGCCCCTGCCCCTGCCTCACCTTGCCCCATGGCAATGGCACCCCTTCCCTGCCTCGCCTCGCCTCACCCCACAAGATGAGCCCACTTTGGCCACACCCACACAGTCTGCCATGACCACCACAGCCATGCCCACTGGCACCCGGTGATAAATAATTGGGTTTTGGGTTGCGGTTTGGGCACTCGGTCTCTAAAAGGTTCGCCATCACTGGGCTACAACTTCCAAAATTCACATAGCCAGGAGCTAACACTTAAATGTGTAGTCCAACACATCTGGAAGGCTGCAGTTGAAAAGCCTGGCATATTCTTATTTAATTTTATGTTTATAGCACTAGAAAAACAGAAAAATAACAATTGGCTGAAGGACTAAGGAAAAGGAATTAATGGGCCTAAGAGACCACAAAGATTACTAAATTCCATGTTTGACAAAGCAGTTGTATGACCTGCAAGAAAAATAAATCTGCATGCAGGTGTGCAGTGACCTTAGCAGTTTTAAGATACATGGACTTCAATTCCCAGAATTCCCTAGCCAGCACTCAAATTCCGGCAGACAAATTCACAAAACTTTAACTAGCTGATTGAGAAATATTAATCTATCACCCAATAGAAAGTTCTAAAGTTTTTCAGTAAAAAGTAAAACATAAGCCTGAAATTCAGAATGGATGATAGATGAATATTGAATTTATGTGAAAGATGCATTTGATTCTAAGATAACCCTTCCTTTGTAATGGTATGGAAGGGGTTGTCACAAGTCTTCCTTTCAGATAAATTTATAAATGATTTAGCATGAACCGTGGGCTATCATTGTCACCTCCTTGTATATCCTAATCTCTAAATGCAGGGCAGTGAAAAATAATTAAATTTTTCCAATCCAAAAATGATGTTAGGGAAAATTTCACCTGCTGGACTTCTGCCTTCCTGTTTAAAAAGCCTCAATTTAACACACGGAGGGAAACTAAGAGCGCAGAATGCTCAGAAAGATCCGGACTTCATGAAAACTTTGGAAAGAAGGAGGCGCAGAAGCGGGACGCAAACGTGGCAACGGGCTGTGCCAGGGAAAAGGTGGCTCGGGTGAGGGGCTACCTTAAAGTAGGCGAACTGCAAGAACTTGTAGGGATCGCGGCGCTGGAATTCTTCCAGCATTTCCCGGCTGGGCTGAGACTGGCGGAAGGCCGGCAGCCCTTGCTTGCAGCGTTTCAGGCACTGTGCTCTGCGTAGCATGTCCCCGAAATAGCGCAGCTCCGGGAAACCATCGAAACGGTCGGCCTCTTTCTCTTCCTCCATGCGGACGGAGCTACAGTTGAGGTGACAGAAGGCCTCGCTGTCCCGCAGAAGGCGATAGAGCCGCAGGCTCATCTCCAGGTAGCTCACGCTCTCCGGCCAGTTCTCGCTGCTGTACTGGTCCAGGCCGTAGCGGTAGGCAGACTCCAAGGGCATCAGCTCGTCGCGCGGGAAACTCCTGAAACTGTAGCGCTCGTACTGAGCCCGCGCCCCGGCCCAGAGGAGGCAGAGGGTGGCCACGAGTAGCCGGCGCCTCCACATCTTTCCCAGCTTAGAGAATAACCGGACACCACGTAGCAAGAGGAAGGGAGGAAAAAAGTTCAGCCTTCCCGCCCCACTCCGAGAACCAGGCGGGGATCCTGAAGGATTGACGTGCAGTTGGACCCCTCCTCCTGACCCGCGCTGGGAACGTCGCACTTTTTGGGGAGAAACGGGTGGGGGAAACTAGGTCAGCAGTTGGACCGAGGGGTCCAACTTGCCTTCATTCGAGGGATCTCGCTTAGGAGGATCGGCACAATCGGATACTTTAGGAAGCAAACTAACGTGCAAGAAAACTGACCTTGTCCTAAACTTTTACATCTCAAGGATGGATCTTTCTTGCTTCCGCTTTTCCTCAAAGAACAGAGATGGTCAGAGGCAGCATTTCAAAGGGCGTGCTTCAAAAGAAAAAAAAAAAAATGAGCATAAACAAGTTGCTCTTTTTGTATTTATTTTCTGTTTATGTATATCCATTCACTTAAAACAGTGTTTCTCAATATCGGCAACTTTAAACTGCGTGGATTTCAACTCTTAAGTTTGAAATACACTGACTTAAATTACTACTATTATTACTACTACTAGTACTACTTCTAGCATTCTGAAGTTGAGTCTGATTCATAAAGGCTTATGACATCCTCTCTGATGCTCTCCAGATCTATTGGACCGCCACTACCAGAATTTCCACTAGCCATGCTAAATAGGAAATTCTGGCACTTGTAGTCAATTCATCTGGACTTATGCAATACTTGGAAAAATTCACATGTATGTTAAATAGTAAATCTTGCCAAGCATCTGCTTCTATGGTTCCAAAGGTGATTTTTCCAAAAGGCAAGTCAACTTTGTTTATTTTCCCTTTGAAAATATTTTGCTTTCCATCAAGAAGCTTCTTGACTGGTGGGGAATGGAAGGTGTGTGTGATTCAGCTGAAAGGAGAGTAAGCAGTCCCAAAAAAGTTCCACACCCATTTGCATTCTGATTCAGTTGACTCTTGAGGATATGACTCTCAGAAAGCTAATGACTGACCCTCAGAGTGCTAATGACCAGATGATTGCAAAGACTATATAAATCCTTCCATTCAGTCAGAATTGAAGAAGTGAAAAAAAATTTAAGGGAAAAATCCAAGAAAGTCCAGTTACCTTTGGGAAAAGCAGCCTTGGGACAACCATGGATGACTGTAAATCTCCATAGACTTCTGCTTCTATTATCCTGTTTTTCTTAAGAAAGTAGAAATAACCTTATATGTACAAAGCAATTCCTGATAATAACTAATGCACTGCAGAAATGAGATAATGGTTTGGCAGTTTCTATTAGCAAATTATGTGATAGCTTACTTAAGCTATCTTATTCTCTTGTACAAAGTATACTACTGGAATAACAGTTTTCTATAAACAGTCTTAAAAAAGTAGAAAATGTGGTTTATAAACTTATATGTACAAAACAATTCCTGATAATAACTAATACACTGCAGGAATGTGATAATGGTTTGGCAGTTTCTATTAGCAAATTATGTGGTAGCTTAGTTAAGCTATCTTATTCTCTTGTACAAAGCATACTACTGGAATAACAGTTTTCTATAAACAGTCTTAAGAAAGTAGAAAATGTGGTTTATAAACTTATATGTACAAAGCAATTCCTGATAATAAACTAATGCACTGCAGGAATGAGATAATGTTTTGGCAGTTTCTATTAGCAAATTATGTGATAGCTTAGTTAAGCTATCTTATTCTCTTGTACAAAGCATACTATTGGAATAACAGTTTTCTATAAACAGTCTTAAAGTAGAAAATGTGGTTTATAAACTTATATATACAAAGCAATTCCTGATAATAAACTAATGCACTGCAGGAATGAGATAATGGTTTGGCAGTTTCTATTAGCAAATTATGTGGTAGCTTAGTTAAGCTATCTTATTCTCTTATACAAAGCATACTACTGGAATAACAGTTTTCTATAAACAGATTTTTAAGATTTTAAAATTTTGTTACGATTATTCATTGATGTTAAAGCCATACAGATAGTCCACAATCAACAACAATTCATTTAATGGGCAAAGTTCACAATCTCACTGGAAAAAATGACTTGTGATTTTTTTTTTCACACTAACAACCATTGTAGCATTCCTGTGGTCACATGATAAAAATTCAGATGTTTGGTAACTAACTCATATTTATGATAGTTGGATGTTCTGAGGTTATGTAATCACATTTTGCAAACTTCTGACAAAGTCAATAGGGAAGGCATATTCAAGCCAGATTTACTTAAGAACTGTGGCAAGAAATGTCATAAAATGGGCAAAATTCACTTAACTGTCACACTTAGAAACAGAAATTTTGGGCTCTATTGCGATCATAAGTTGAGAATTACCTGTATTAGCTAATGTGATGACTTCCCCAGACACTTCCTCAGATACTTCTCCAGATGTTAGTTCAGAGGAAGATAAACCAGTCATAGGCACGTCAAGACTGGAATTGGTCAATGCTCCAAATAGTTAACTGAGAGTGATTTGTCTGAAGCACAGCTGCAGCAGGACAGCCCAGAGGCTTCAGGTGGGGAAAGCATGCACTGCAGCCAGCCAGTTATGAAGAACTGCCTTCTGCACCTGATCCGAGAACATGTAGGGCAGGGAAAAGGCAGGAGCAGTGATGGTCAGCCAGATTACTTATGAGGAGGCAGCCTCCTCACTCTTGATGGGCTGCACCGGAAGCTGGCTATTTAGCACAGCAGCCAGAGATGATGCTGTGAGCAATATGTTTGTTTTCTTGCTGTGTGTTTGTGCCTTGAACTTTGGATTGTGTCTCTTCAACTGTTTTCCTTGCCTTGTTTTTGCCTGTGAACTGGCCTTTGTTTTGGAACTTGCCTTTGCCTTGAGGAGTAGTGTTGGTTTCATTTGAGTAGCCTGTGGAACTCATTGGGGTTGAGTTGGTGCCAGCACAGGGAATTGCTGGGGAATAACAATTCAGGCTTGGAAACCTTAATAAAGACTCCTTATACATGTGGTTTGTGTGTGTGTGAGTGAGTGGGACAGCACAGCTATCTGGTTAAACAATGTGAAAATACTTTGAATAATTGTTCAACAGTGTTTTATCGTTATGTTACAATGTTGATCACAAATATTTGATTCTTTTGTTAAAAATATATTCAATTTTTATGCTAAAATAATAAATTACCAGTATAATCAAAACAAAACCAAGAATAAATTTAAATTAGATAAAAGTTCATAAAAAGTGGTATAGAGGATGCCCAAGAATTAATAAAAATAGAGGAAACATTTTGGAAACAAGAACCAACTTCCTTCTTCTCCCCTCGGAGCGCCGCCTTCGCCTCCTTTGGCTCTTCAGGGCATCTATCAGATGTCAATTCAACATTGCAATCCTGGGAAACTCATAGTCTGCCCAACTTAAGCGTAGAACTGTAGGAAGAACACGAGCAGCAGGAACAGAAACGCGAAACCCCATATTCTGAACGGCAGAGAGTTGAGAATAGCTGAAGCTGGCTGGCAACAGAAGAATGATGATTATTCACACCTCTCCTCTCAATGAAATCTGGGTTTCCTTGCATTTTATAGCTGCAAACAGACACGCGCGTCCGCTAGAGGCGGAAGTGATCAGCTGACTGGAGTCATGCGGTCGGTGGGCCTGACTGCGTCTGGTGCCGAAGTATTGTCTTCTATTTCTTTGACTTGCTGTTTTAACATGCTTGTTCTGGTTTTGCTTCACTTCCTAGCCGCAGGATTTGGATCCCCGGTAAGCATAGTCCTTTCTCGTAATCTCTCACCGGAAGGCGACTTGCACGAGGGAAGACTTTTATTCTGCTCCCTCCCGGAGCAGAAGGGAGCACTGCGTTGATGGAGTATTTTTCGAACCTGGCAACTTTAAGATGAGTTGATTTCTATTCCCAGAATTCAAGACACCCATATTAAAGTTTCAGAATTGGGATTCACTGCCATACATACTGGGGAGCTCAGTTGGCTTCCTGAACATCTCGTAGTGCCAATATACTCTTACAAATATTCAAATATGATCAGGAAGAAGTCTGAGCTGCTCACCATTAATCTAGGCAGTGTTTCTCAGCTTAGATAACCTTAATATGTGTGGATTTTTGGCTGGGAAATTCTAGGAGTTGAAGCCCACACATCTTAAATTTGCCAAGTTTGAAAAATGCTGATGGAATGAATGTAATGCCCAGCCTTTGCAAAGAAGCCTAGCATCTAGGAAATGTGGGAAGCTAGGGTTACTTAGCAGATCTATTGCTGTACTCTAAGTCCTGAAGAAACTTTGAAGCATTGCTTTGAGTAAAATTAGCATTTAACTGAGCTTGGCCAACATAGGTCTGATTGATAGGAGACTAACCAGGAGAACCCAAGGACTTAAGTCTAAATGAGGAAGTGAAAATATGTCCAGATGAGGCAGCTTTCCTGACATTGTTTATTGCTGCAACTCTGTAGTCACTAGATGGAATATCTACCTTACCTAGAAAAGCGTCCAAACGGCAGAAGCAGATGTTTTTCTCTGCATTTCAAAATGCCTACTCTTTGTTGAAAACACATGGGACAAAGCCATGCGTGGTTAATGGCTTGTATGACATTTGGTACTACTGAAACAAATTTATCAAAACTCTCATTGTCTTTGTCTGTACCTTCAAGTGCATTATACTGCAACAGTTTTTAAAATCTTTAATCAAGATACTAAAATACACTGATTTGAAGAATATATATATATAAAAAACCCTATACCCATTATTCCTCTGGAGTTGAAATTTGCATAATGTTCAGACCAGTTTTAATTGCAAAATTATTGCCATTTACTTGCCAAAGGTGTCCCTGCAGTTATGTGGTCATGATTTCAGACAGTTCTGCCAGCGTCCCTCAACAAAGTCAATGGGGAAGCGGGCAGAAAGTTGTTTCCACTCTCACCATTTTTTCCCCTACGTATACAATTGCAATATCTTCATGAAAATTTAATGCATTACCTGCTGCTGGAACTATCTTTTTCTTCACGATAGTA